TTGGGAAGTCTTGAAATATAGTAGCATAGCACTTGAAATCGAATAGGACGGTGCATACTTTACCTCTGGGCGTTACTATTCTAAGGCAGCGTAGTTGTAGAGGATGGTAGACGAAAATTTGAGGTTGGTGGCAACGCTATTAAAGAAGTTGAGGGTGAATTACTCTCTCCAGAACTTACGACGAAGTAGTTCTCCTATCCCCTTCCTCGTTTAGCATTTTACTGGAGGGTCTGCATGTTATATGTTGGTGTTGGGTAAGACTTCTTCCTCGTAAGTTTGACACGCTAAACTTGCTAGACTTGCTCGACTTCCTCGTTTGTCAGTGCAAAAACTAGATGTAATTGTGCTGTTATTCTTCCTTGTTAGCTCCCAACCTATGAAAATGTAAAGCAACTCTGGCTTACCTGGAAGTGTATCTCCCTGGTCATTTTCCAGCGTTCCCCGGGGATGCATGGGCGCTCGACTTCCTCGGTAGTGAGCATTGCATTTTCTGGCCTTCCTCGTTTGCTGATTGGGCTTACCTGTCTGTGGTCTATTCCCGGGGGGATTCACATGGTCACCAACTTCCTCGTAAACACCGTCCTCGCCGAGATTTACTTCCTCGTAAGTTCTGAGGAGTGTAAGCCTTACAATCTTGGTTAAGACATCTGAAATCCCTAGATGTATTTAAGCCTGACACAAAAAACAATGAGTTGAAGATGTGGAGCGTTTGGACATTTGCATTTTGCAGCTACATTCGAGGAATAGATCCAGTAATGGTAGTAACTATGGATGTGGTGGAGAAGAAGATTAATAGCGATTGCACCTTCGACGACATGACTGATGAAATGAAGACCATGTCAATGAGATTGTACCTAAGGTCTAAAGCCAGGGTGTTGAAACCCTAAGGTATAAAACCTTGAATAGATATATTTAAAGAATAGTTATTTAAGTATATTAGTAGGATGGATTATATGAAGGATTTACCTGTTGATGTGTTGAGGAAAACTGTTTCTTATAAAATTGGAGAACCTAAATTTGTAAAAATAAAGCATTGTGAAGCATTGAAGAGAATACAAAGCAAATATAAAATATCAAGACTTGGTCCGAACATAAACAGAAAGGTAAGACAAAGAAACAAAATGTATATAATTGAGTATTGTATTATGAGAGAGGGAGCGCCCAACAGATTTTACAAGTAGTTGGAGGCAGGCGGGCTGCCGATGCTGGCGGTTACGATGGCAGGTGTTCAGGACACTTGAGATCACCAACGTTGCACATGTCAAAGTGTGAGCTTCCTGCGTGAACGCAAGCAGGTCTCTCAACAGTGGTGATTGAAACATCAACGATTTTCGGGGCTGTTCCCAGTGAAGATGGGTTTTGTGCTGGCGTGTCAATCGGAGGATCGCGATGCTAAGAGCAATTTTTAAACAGCCCCAACCCAGTGAGTTTTTAAATCTTCAAGTTCAAGTGTAAACGCTCCGAAGAAGGATGCTTCAATGACTTCAAACACAAACGCTCCCCTTTCAACAGTGGGGAAGCGTTTATTGGGTGAGACAAGGGAATCGCAGTAGCATAAATTGGAATAGTTTTAAAGAAAAGAGCCGGCAAACAAGACCGCCGAGAACTGTGCCTTGTCACTTGTTATCGAATTAAACGAAAGAATCACTCTGTAGCGTACAGTCGAGCAGGTATATGGTTGAGCATCCCCAGGCTTCATTGGACCAGGTAGTCACTGGAAACCTGATCTCTCTGTTCCAGTCAGTTGGTACATTAAAGTTCAAAAGCACCCTCCTATTTCAAGGGGTCAACACACGCACACGCCGTTGAAGGGGCTATCGGTACAGGGGTATTTCATGGGGCATCAGCATATCAGCGGTATTTCATCTTGCCTCGGTGGTTGCTGTTACAAGTAACTGCACTTGATCTAATTACATGCAGAACAAACAAAGTATTCACGTGTCAGTGATTAGAGAACACTGAGGGGAACAGGTCTGCTGCCAAAGGACAACTGCTTCTGCAACAACCTGCAGCGCAAACCTGTGAAACATCAGAGGTTTCTGCGCTCCTGGAGCCATTTCTCAGCGCGGTCCACATCCAATGCCTCGACCGACAAAGGTTTTGCTGTTTGAATGCCGCTTGTCTGGCAAGAAGCAAAAACTCTTAAACATCCATGCGTGCAGATTTGTTTCTGGCTTGTTTTCCAGCAATCACACGACGGTTTAAGTGCCTGCCCAAGGCTGAAACTCACAAGATCCGCAAGCAGGTTCACACAGTCGTTTCATGTGTGATCCAATAAATAACACAATGGTCTTCATTGTGGCTTTCATCTGGTGAGTGTATTGCGGGGCTCAGCGCTGCCTCATGAAACGGGAGAGAAACCTTCGCACATTGCTCGACTGAGTACCACTCAGCGTGGGCACTGTATGCTGCTGGTTGTGACTAACTACCGTTCTATCGAAGTACAGGTCTTTCGTTGTGGAAAGGCGCTGAGATGAATACCATCCATCGGACACAAAGTCACCAACGAATAGGCACGGCAGAGCCACCCTTGGGGCCATTGGAACGAGTATACAGTATAAGTCTTTCAATACCAAAAAGGCGTGGGCGTTTGAGACAAGAACACAATATATATAAGTATAAAAACAAAGAAGCACAAGACATCTTACTCAGTAAGGCAAGTAACTCGCGAGGTCCAGGTCCAAAATACAGCTCCGACAAATCTTGCGGTGGTCCTCCTCCACTAATTGATTCAAAGTGGGCTGGATTTACTGCACCACTTAAGCTGATCACAAAGCTTGGGCTCACAAGACCTTGAAAGCGTGGATCTTGTTGATGCTTCAAAAGGGCAATAGTATGAACCATTTCCGCTCCCTGCGAGAAGCCCAGGACACCATCAATTGGTTCCTCCGATTCTTGTGCTTTCCAAAGCTCGTCTGCAAGCTTTGTTGTTGCTACCTCCATTTCAGCCCAGTCTAATGGCCTGTCTCCCATACCATTCTCATCATACCTCCACCACTGGCGCCCATCTTCCCGCCGAGATGCTTCTGGCAAAGGGGCCCCAATGCACCGACACTCAATGGCCAAAGCAACATCTCTAGCTTCCGAACTTCCGAGAGTCCGTGTTCTTGCGTCTTCGGTTGTGAGGACACTTTGGAAGAAGTCCTTTAGCTTGCTGCAAAGTCGTGCAGGAGTTCCTCCATGGCCATGAAGGCAAAGTAAGCGTAGTCTCTTTTCGGGCGATTGGTCAGAGGTACCAGAAGTACCCACCCGGATCACAGCCATGGCTTTGGATTGGCACTGATTTACCCAATGTTCGGTGTCTCGTTGTCTCATGTCTTTTTCTTGTTCTCAACCGCCCGGCCACTAAATTCAATTGAGTCGCAGCACTCTGTTGTAACCCTGAGTTTCATGCAAAACTGTTGAGCTACGGCTACGGCTAGGATTGCAGGAGTGCGAAATTGGTGCATCAGGCAGTGGCTTACGAACACCCTCCGGCAAGTGACACCTGAGCTGTGTCATTTGAATGTTTGCCTGAGGGGCTTGAACAATGTTGGTGCTACTTCTAAGGAGCTTGATGAGCTGGCATGTGTTTATCCTCGAGTTTCTCTCCTCATACTTCACCTCTATCTCGTTTTGACGACGCAAAGCTGCAGGAGACAGGGTTTGGAGTGCTTCTCTCACACACAAGCGCACTCTCAATTTAGTTTCGAGGCCATGGCTTTCGCACATACGTTGACCAAAGAGTTGAAGGTGAGAACGCCGGGCTGAATGCCCTGTTTCACCATCCTCAAAAAGCTTCTTTGACGAAATCCTGACAAACCTCAACCCCCCTGAGCCCTGAGCAAATGTATTCAAGAGATTTCAAGCGTGAGGAATCTCGGCTCTAAGCTTGTGAAACCAATGCTCAGCACGCGTAACGTCGCCACCTGGAATTCGACCGATAATCTTTCCTAGCTGACGTTGAGTCACTGAGCTGGTGAACGGAGCCACATGCCTGTTCGTGAAACATTTAACCATCGCTGAGGACCAAACATCTGGCACAGGCCTGCAATTTCAACTCACTGTGCCCCCACTATCTTCATCTCTCCTCTCTCTCGAAATGCCGCCTTATTGACTTGGCCCTTGCAACACTGCTGAACACTGGGTACAAGGCATTGATCGCACTGTTGTAAGTGACAACATTTGGCCTGCACCTGGCAGGCAAATTTCAAAACATATGCGAATGCGCATGTCAAGTTCACTAACCACAAGATCTGGCTCCGGGTCAAAACTAGGATACCTTGGTTGGCCTAAGTTGACCTACCTGGGAGGTCAACCTACATGGTGGGCAAGGACTCCGGGTTTTGACCCATCCCCTCTCTTCTCAGCACAGCCAGGCAAAGCTGGGCACAGCCAACTCACGTCAGGCCGAGGGCACCCCATCCTGTTCCATCTGCTCAATCCAAGCCTTGGCCAAACAAGTCCAAACCCAAACCAAGGCAGCAAGGTTCATGACTATCCAAAGGTTGGTCATGCGTCGAAGTGGTTTCAGCCCGTTGGAGGTCGTTGGCTTTTGCACAGGCCTTGCCGAAGTGGTCAACAGAGTCAATGTACTTGGCTTCTACACCTTCAATGTGCAATAAGCCTAAAGCCTTAAGCATTGTCATGAATTGTCACATTGAACAAACAATGGGGATTTGGTTAGCAAGTAATGGGCACAAGGTTCCAGACATGGATCACAGAAGAGTAGCTCGCCACATCTGCCTGCGACCGCAACAAGGTTTCTACAGAGTTTCTTGGGGGTTGTTGTCTTTACTTTCGTTTTGCCAATTTTTTGTTGAAGGCAATGTGCTCGTTTTTCTGCAATATTTTGGTTCTTTCTTCACAGAGTGACCAACGCAATAAGCACGCACCTGCGTTGTTGATTTCAACATGCGTTTCAGCCAAAACTCTGCGATCCACGTCTCCCTGCCGTTTGGTCCACAATGGAAGGATGGAAGGATTTTGGAGAAAATAAAATGTGGAGATTGATCAAAAGCCGATCAGTGACAAACACCCAAAACCCAATATTGACGACGAGGCGGACGAGACGAAAGCCAGCCCCTGTAGGGATTGAAAAATCATTAATATTATTGTTGTAACAGGGTGAAGTCGGAGCTGCAAATTTTTTGCCACGGGAAAACAAAAGGCAGAGATACGCAAAATTTCACATTGAGGTTTGATATGACCGAGCCTATATACACAAGGCCTTTACCAACCCCCATCCACCGTCACTGGTCATAGGGTAATCCCATGCTCTTGTACAAATGTCCAACTCCCTTGGACTTTTACAGTTCTAGGCTCTAGGGGGCGCCCTCTTTCTTGAGGTTTAGGGCCCATTTCGCGTTCACCTCCAACATGATCCTTAGACCGTGGTAATTCTTCCCGGGGGACTATTGTACTCAACCTTTCCAATCAATCTGCCTACACAAAGAGCTAGGTCAAGCACCGTGACTGTAATCAGTGATTTCAACTCAGCCGCAAAAGCAACGAAAGTCAAACGCTACTTTCCTTCCCTATCGTCCAGTCTCCTCCACTTGGACTCACACACCTGCAGTATACCGCTTTGATACTCACTTGGAATGAGAAGGCAATCCTGACTTGTAATGTACTCGAAATCTGTATATATATATATATACATATGATTGTCCATGAACAGTTGCGCGTGAATCTTTCTATTCACAGCGGATCCATTTACTTTTCCATTTCTTTCAACTCACGCTTCCTCGTTCGACTGGCAAATTGCCTTTTCCCAATAGACTGAGAACGTCTATTTCCAAAAATAGACGTTTAACTTTTAACTTTTAACGTACTGTACGATACAAATTATCGTTTTTTTTTACGTGTTTTCAAAAATATGCTAATTTCTTGTTTATTTTTACGTTAAAAGTTTCGTCTATTCTTTATCGAAATTTCGTTAATTTTATTCGACTATTTCAAACGTATTCGTCTATTTTTAACGTCGAAAACTTCTAGCAAACTTCTACTTGCAAAGCTGCAAAACTTCTAGTTTCCATGTCATGTGGTTTGCGTTTTCTTCTGTCTTCCAACTGAAGCTCCAATTCAGCTGCTCCAACAAGTCCCCCAAGCAGTTGGACTGATGAGCTGTGATCTTCTTCTCTTTGTGGACGTTCTGTTCCCGAGTAGTGGCCCTGCCACAGCAACCGCCGCAGCCACTTCCATAACAACAAAACATCAACAGCATCAACAAAGACACCCACCAGGAGAACTCGAGACAACGCTCCACAAAGAACTCTCAAAAAGACTCTCAACAGACTCCCAACAAAAAAAGCAACTCTGTCAAAAACTCTCTCAACAAAAAGGCAACTCTCTCAAAAACTCTCTCAACAAAAAGGCAACTCTCTCAAAAAATCTCTCAACAAAAAGGCAACTCTCTGAAAAACTTTCTCAGCGGCTCTTTCAAAAAACTCTGAATGACTCTCTCAGCAAGACTGTCCACTCCACCAAAACACGCCTCTCGCGACCAGCTTCGATCTTCCGAAAGCCGAAGTACCCCATCTTCGCTGTGCATGACATAGATGTCGCCTGAGGAGAGCGCCTCCTGAAAACTGGCCTCGCTGTTCTGAAAGTAGAGTCCTTTCAACACGCTCTTCGGCAATCCGGTTTCGCAATCCTTGCCGTATCGTAGAGCTTTTTGGCCTCAACAAACATGGGTTTCTCCGCATTCAAAGAGTATCTCCCGTTCTTTAGTTTCGTGAACATCCTGAACTCCCGAGGGCTTGGTTTCGAAAGGGCCTCGGTGTCGTAGAGGTGAATGATGTGGGCCGGCAAACTCCTCCTCATCAAGTTAAATTTTATACTCTTACCTTTGTCGCGGAGGTGAGCTGCGTCATCCTCTCCACCAGACTGCTCCTTGATGTCGCCCTCGTCCTCCGGATTCTTCTTGGAGCTTGAAGACCTGAGGCCACGCTTCAGCTCATTGATCGCCTTGTTCATGCTTCCACTTGCAGCTGGCCTCTCCTTGGCCTCCGGCTCGCCATCCTCGCCCTCCTTCTTAATCGATGATCGTCGCTTCATGGGAGGCGCCATGGTGAGAGCGGTACTCCGAAAGTCGATGCGTGCTGCTATTGGACTTTCCGGCTAATTGCTTCATGGATATGGGAACAAATTTACTTTCTCTCAATCAACAAGCGCGCAAAGTTATTCAGACAGGTAAGAGCTCTCAGCAATTGCAATATAAACAATATATAGAAATATATAGAAGTATGTTTGAATTAACTTATGAATGTTCAAAAGTAGACGTTTACTAGAAGTTTCCATGAAACTTGTAGTTTCCACAACTAGAAGTTTACAAGAAGTTTACTAGCAGTTTACTAGAAGTTTTATAAGCAACATTGCATATTCACTGTAAGGGCTATCATTTTCAACAAGTCAAACTTCTACTTAACTTGTTTCATGGAAGCTTCTAGTAAACTTCGACTTTCATAAAAGTAGAATGCTGGAGATTCACAAAAGTGTCAATGAAATTCAACATGAAATTCAACATGTCAATCAAATATTTCCACCACTGTAATCAACTAGTTTCACCACAGTAACTCTCAACTCTCTCAACAGCTTCAACAGTCTACAAATCCCTCAACGACTCTCCAAGCAGACCTGCACAGAGAAAACAGTCAAGAGTGAAAAATCTCTCAAACAACTCACATGCACTCAACGTGTTTTCCATCAACGCGCAAACGGTTCCGAATGGTTCTTCTGGCTCAAAAAACACCTCATGATGGTTGGATGCCCAACTATCAAAAACCAAGCCAGCTGCGAGCGCCATCAGAGCCACCTATTGCTTCTTCTTCTTCTTCTTCTCCTTCTTGGGCTTTGATGTTTTCGCCTTGTGCGTCCGCTTGGGTTCAGGCTGTGAAGGTTCAGCTTGCTCGGTAGAAGAATGAGTAGCTCCGTTGTTGAGGACGGTGCCAGCAAGCAACAAGCAAGGCCTGGATACGCTCCGCAATCGCCAATGTCTCGGGTCATGACCTACCAAAGTGCCATCAGTCCTCAATGTCATGGCGTAAAACTCACCCTCTTCTTCAGACTCTTCGCAATCCTCATCAGGATTCTGAGAGTCATTCTGGAAGTCAGCAACTTGCGCAGAGGGCCCACCACTGTTCTCTAAGTTGAGGGCATCCACATTCTCCAAAGCAACCTCCAATGCTGTGGGAGGAGTTTGAGGCGAAGCAACAACTGCTTCCTGTGACCAAGCCTCCTGATGGGTCATCTCAGCATCTGCGCTGTCGCTGCCCTTCTGTTGGTTCGACGACATAGTAGCTGCTCTTCTACGATAGATAGTGGTTCTACAACACACTTGTTCTACAAATCAGATCCGACATGATCAGTGATTCTAGTTGAAAAAAAATCACCAACAACTCTCCACACCAAAACGCTCTCTGTCAAGATGTTCACTCCCTCAACCTCTCTCCAGACCTGCCAGGATCAGTACAAGTTTGCCAAATTCAACTGTCCTCTCTACATCTCTCAACATCTCTCCAAAACCCAAATTCAACTGTCCTCTCTGTCTCTGTCAATTCACTCCTCTCAACAAAACCACTCAACATGAACATTCCCGTATAATAAGTGTACGTGGGTCTAACTTCACAAACACAATGACAACAAACCACCACTGTACAATCTTTTGAGAAATGGCGGAAAACACAGAGAAGTGGCTGCGAATACACATGCTGACCCCAGAAATTCCAAGTGCAAAACTTCTGTTTTGAACTAGAACTGACGTACAAAACTTCTACGAAAGTTCTATCAAAGTTCTACTGGCAAACTAGAAGTTTGATAGAAACTTCTATGAAAACTTCTAGTTTCCAATCGCCGCAAAATAAAAGTATACGTTATAAATTTCGTCCATTTTTAACGAAATTTCGTTCATTTTTTCGATAAAAATAAACGAAATTAAGATAACTTTTTAACGCAATTTCCACAATTTCGTCAATTTTTTCGTTAAAATATTAGCGAAATTATGTTAATAGTTAATTTTTTACATCTATTTTTGAAAATAGACGTTCTCAGTCTTTGGGTTTTGCCGATTCCCTGGTCTGATATTTGACTTTCCCTTTTCGTTGGATTCTTTTTCCTGCTCTGCCCTTTATCCCCTTTTCTGCGGCCCGTCGCTATAGATTTATATTCACAGTGCTACAAATAGATATGCGTACATCGTTTTCTCATAACGCCAGCCGATAGGCTTGGCTGAGTCCTTGATGGGCGATCGACGAAGTAAGCAATAGGGGGTGTGGAGGGGTGGTCGCAGGGTGGGACCTGCCGGGCAGGGCGAACCCAGAGAGAGCTTGGTGGGGGGAGAGCAAAAGAGAGAGGCGGTCCAAAGGGTAGGAAGTTTCACGTTGCACCGGTGGACGCCAGTTGCAAGACTCAGCTCGCCAGCCTGAGCGACATGGACCGCCAACTCCTTCACTTGATACTTCTTGGCTACCCATGGTCTTCCGGTGGGTAGGATACTGGTTGTCGGACAACCGCTTCGAAGCGTCAATATTGCCTGTTCAACTGCGGAGGATCCCACGCTGGATCGCCTTGTGAAAGAAGGCCCGAATCGGTTCCGCATCCTTGGCTGTCTAGGCCATGGGAAAGTTCTAACAGTTCTAACAAATTTGCTTGACAGTTTCACATTACCATCTATTGGATCTCGTGGCTTCAAAAGACTAAAGGCCAGAAGCTGTCTTTTCCGGTTTGGGCATGCGGCTTCGTCTCTGCGCCCGAAGCTGTTAACAAGTGTCGCGCTTTGATGGAACCTCGGACGACGACACCACGAACGGTATAGTTCTTCTATCGTCAGCGTCAGTGGGAGACGACGGCGAAGTGAGGTGGTCGTATAGAGGCCGCAGTGTGCCGCCAAGTGCTTTGCTCAAAAATTAGACTAGAAGGTGGGCGACGCTGCCCGTCTCCCAAGTCAAGGAGGTCCAACGCACTGACTTTGCCTTGGTTGCCCGGAAAAGCTACATTTTCCCCGGCCTGCGTGCGCATAGGAACCTATATTTGCGAAAGCAGCGTCACATGGGTGAGGCGTTTGATTTTGGGCGTTGGAAAACTGCTAATTTAAGCTGGTTTGCGCTGCCACACCTGGTCTTGATTGGCAATCCAGCTGAAGCCGCCTTGAAAGGCCCGCAACAAGCGAGTTTCAGAATCAGTCTGAGAGGCTGTTTGTTATCAGATCCATTGGCAAGGCGCGCTGTCAAGCGTCCTGCATGGAAATATTTGCTGAGACATCGTAGAGCTTTCTTTTCAGTGGCGATACTGCGCGCAAAAGGCACTAGCTATAAAGCTCTCCAGATTGGACCCCGTTTGCGATATCGAAAGAGTTCATGAAGTTGCACGCGCGTTCAAGTTTCACCCTTCTCCCCCAAGGCCATCATGAACCACCCATGACACCACACACAGCCTTTCCCAGAAGAATCTCGCCAGAACTACCGGAAGGCATCCAGAATCCAGCCGCCCAGAGCATTCAATTCCAGGCGCGTCATACTGCGTACATTCCCTATACGATCTCCCAGACCAGCGTCTCCATTGCCAAGACAGCGCATCTTGCGGTCGAAGAAACGTCGCCCACCAATTGCAGTCTCAGCCTAATGAGGCCACTTTGGGCAGCAACATCACTCTGCCCATTTGACTGCGCGCAACTCTGCAACAGGCATTCATCCAGTTTTCAATCGGAGATCAAGGTCACGATGGCCAACGGCCTTTTAGCCTGAAGGCGGGCAGATCGTTGGTGTCTATATTTGCAGATACTCTTCTACCACTTTGCAAACGCTCACAAAACTGCTTCCCCTAAACCGCTCCAGATATTGTGATTTCAACCGGGCTGCATGCTTCTTGGCGTCGATTTCGAGCGCTTTCTTTTCCAGTGAGCGGTCCATCCAACAAGCCTAGAAACGGTCGGTTCCTGCAGCAGGTACTTCTTTGGCAGCACATTTCTGCGCGCCGCGCAAGGTTGCGAGGCACAAACACGGACAAGACTTCTTCGCAGGCGCGAGGCTCGGTTCTCAAATGTTCTTCGACATGTGGACGGGCAGTGGCGGTTAGTGTTCAGTTGTCTCTTGGGCTTCTGGATCTTATTGCTTGATTTGCGGGCCTCAGCGCAGAGCTGAGCTTCTAGCTTTGTTCCGAACCCAAGGCCGTTTTTGAAGAGGGCCACATGCGGGCTTCAGGGACGATCCAGAAGTTTCGCCTGTGGAGGTTCTACACCGAGGGTCTCTGACGTGGCCAAGGGGCTTGATGTTGGACCCAACAATGTAATTACGACCAATGGAACCTGGGACCGTACACAGTGATGGCACTCCATACCACTTGGCTCTTCTGTTTGCCTGGCGTCGGGTCAAAGAGCCCCGGCTCAAGAAACCCAGCCCTCCAGCACCTTCAGCCAGAGTCGCCGACATTTCATCTATGACTGATCCTTCTATGGAAGCCGATACCCAAAAGTCAAGCAGTCAAACAAAACTTTCTCTCCATTCGCATCCTAACATGAGAAAAGCTTAAGGTGCTCCGCACAGTCAAGCGCTTTGCCAAACAACAAGGTATACGGTATGCGTTGTACACATAGGAGCCCTGCATGTTGTTCGGAGCTTTGTCACCCAAATGTCAAGCCTTGTGCGTCATCCAGGCTTCCCAACGTTTGTATTCCTTTGCGTCTCCTGTGTCTCCGCTGAAGGCGCGCAGGCCAGTGGACTCCAACGACCACCTCAACATGGCGTCCACGCTCGGTCCAAGTGGGTTCCCACTTATATAATCGGAGCCCCGGCTAATCCAAGGCTCCGCTACCAATATCTGATCCGACGGACACACCAGGGCTCGCCCACGGCCTTTTCCGCACCAATGCGCTTCCTGCGAATCAACCATGTTTGCAATACCGATGCCAGGCTGCGTCCATGCTGAGCAATCAACATATATACATATATACGCAATAAGAGGAGGGGTAGGCTGCAAGTAGGCCAGCCACTGACAATAAAGAAGCTACTAGTTGGGACACAGAAGAGCTCAGGCTTCTTCAAAGAAGGATGGAAAGACTCCTTGAAGAATCCTTGGAGGATTGATTTGTTTTCTACAATAGAGTTCTAGGGAAATTAAACATGTGCGTTCCTTTGTTTGATCCTTTTCTAGACAGCACACCTACTTACCCCTTTCAACGCAGCGCGCCTTCCTCGCACAAGCAGATATCAATGCATTATATGTGGAGCCGCTGACCTCAAGGACGTATCAGCATTGATCTTTGAATCAAAGGAGCGAGCACACCTTATATACACCAAACTAGCCTCTGCTTGCTCCAAACGCTGGAAGATTCGTTCAACTCTGCTGATGTCGCCCAAGAAAGCTCGGTTCAAAATGCAAGGCCGGTGCGTAAAGTTGCATACTAACCATCAACCCGGCAGCTGGACAATTCAATAGTGCTAAGCCTTGAGAAACTGCATTCAATTCATGAGGAGACCATATGTGCTAGAACCAACCTCTCACAGACAGAATGGAAGGTTTCTTGCAAACGGCAAGACCACGGCCTGGAGTCCAGATTCTTCCATCTTCTCTAGCCTCAGCAAAAGCTGGCGTCAACTTGCCTCAGCTCCCAGCCCCGCTATATGAATCAAGGTAGCGGCCATTGTTCAGCGCGATGCCTCCGAAAAGCATTCAGCAGAACTGTGGCATCATCATTGATCGATCATCTGGGTTCATGCTGAGAGTCGGGCAACTCTCCACTTTGCGCAAAGGCATCGATCCTAAGAGCTTTGCAATGTATAGCATCTTCCTAAAATCCTAAACATTCAACAGTTTAGAACACACAAGCAAGCCCATGGCATTGTACAGTAGCTCACAGCATCTGCCTACGCATGGATCGCGTGGTACCCACACACAGGAAGGAATGCAGTATCCGATATATCCAATGGACTTCTCCCTGTGCGAGTGCCATCTCGCTTCGCAGACTTACCAGCTATACATCGTATACATGTGGAGTGTGTATTTGTGAGTTTGAGGTTGCGGCCATATTCTTATGAGTTTGTTATGAATTCATTACACTCGGAATTATGATTTCGATATGGTTTCTTTATAGTTATCAAGGACGTTATCAAAATGATAGGAGAATTCGCGCGGCTTCTGGTTGGAGTTTGAGGACTTCAAACGTTGTGTTTTGCGCTAAGCCTAAGCACAGCCGCATCATCTGGACGGTTTTGCTTACCTTTGGTTTTGTGAGAAGGAGTCACTTTTGAAAATTCCAAAGAGACCAAACAGCCAATGCTCTTTCCCAAGCAATGTACGTGACACGGGGCTTCTTTGTTCACATGATAGGAAATTAGTCGGTTGTTGCTCTTGCTTTACGAAGCCTCCCACCACATGGTTGGGAGCACTCTGGTCCAAGTGGCTGAATCCTATACCAGCTGGTAGTTGGTAGTGCGGTCCCCGCTAATCTTCGGCCATGGAATGCTTTGCAAGGCTCCTTTTCACTGGACCGGGTGATGGGAATGAGGTTCCGGTTCAGGCATTGGTTATGCCTAGCCAAACGAAGGTGATGGTTGCTTTGCGTGAAGGCTGGAAGGTGCATTGCTTTTCTGGCCGAGAGGCGGTCTTCAAGGCCTATGGTGTGGCATGGCAGGGTGATTCCATCCGCCTGTTGATGAAGGAAGGCAGCATCTTGCTGCTCCATCCGTCGGTGAACTCAGGTGTGATCTTGGGATCCTCCGAATGGTTCTCAGGCTTGGGAGGGTGGCATTGCGGCCTACAGCTGGCGGCGAAATGCACGAAGATCGTGGTGGACTTTAACGAGGAGGTCTGCAGGGTGGCTAGGCAAAGGCTAAACCTGGCACTCAACTGTCAGCAGAAGGTCTTGACTCCAGAGGCCTTCCTGGCCAAGACTTTGGCCTGTGAGCGCAGTGCCACTGAGGTCATTTGTGGGCGCACGGATTCCCCTTTTCTCCACCAGTCCAGGGTGTCCCAAGCATCCTGACTTTGTGCTACTGAAAGAGGAGGCTGAGAAACATGGTTACGCCTTGGTTTGCAGTGGCACTCATGATGTACATGCTGTTCACCCCATTGTCCTGTGAACGGTGGCTGGGTGTATGGTGTCGGAAGGCCCTGATTTCCTACCCGGATGTGAAGCTGATGATCTATGTTGGGCACAACCTCATATTCATGTCCCAACTACGGCTTTGTCCATGGCTGCGGAAGGTGCTGTGTTGACTGGATTGGGTTCAGTCGATCTTCAAGCTCCTCGACCATCTACTGAGGCAGTTGAAATGTTGAGCCGTGCTGACCTTCTGCCTTCTCGCGATGGTGGGGGGAAGTTGTTCAACCCAGCCCATGTCTTTGAAGCGAGTGTGCGTACTCCACATCAACCTTTGATTGCTGCAATGGCTTGCTATGGGAATCAGCACAATTTGCCGGTCAACTTGTTGAAGAGGAAAGGCCTGAAGACTCACCTTCTTCGTGTTGATGGGGTCGTGAGGTACTACCATCCTATGGAGGTCATCGCAGCTCAGGGCTTCCACAAAACTGCTTATATAAATCATAATATCAAACACCAAAATAAAATACCTACATGGCATTCTATTCAGGTTCCTGGAAAAGGTGTGTGAATAGAAATATCATTGGGTGTGACCAAGATCTTGCAAGAATGGCATGCGCGCAGGCACACATACTACTGCCAATGTCGCAGGGCCGGGACCGCCTAATGAATCTCCATGACGCTACCCCGAAATTTGAAGGCTTCCCACTTTGAAGCATGTGAGTGCGGAGATTCTCCACTTCTTGCTACCAGCCTGTCTCTTCCGAACCCTAATATTGGACGACTCAGGCCAACAAGCTTCCGCAACTGTTCACTATCTTTCAAGCCCGAAGGGCGACGCCACGCAAGCTGGAGTCCTTCTGTCAATGCGACAGTCGAGTCAGTGGCCCTTCACACAAAGTGTGCAACTATGCTAAAGAAAAGACCTTATTTAAAATACAATGGCAAGAATATGTTCTATTCAAACGACTTTTCGATTAGGCCTGAGAATGAAAGCATTGTTCACTGACGCGAACCATTGTGAGCCCCATGCTGCGATGTTCAATGTCGCAGAGCTGGTCAAGAATGAATAGCCTTGAAATGCTTCATTTCTGCAAAGAAACACAGTAGAAATGAAATCCGGCTTAGTCGTCAGAATGTGGCCAACTCTACATTTCATCCGGCTTCTGAGTCCACGGCGTGAGCTGAGGAATGCCATGAGTCCAGTAGTAGCCTTGAAGCTCTATACATCACTTACTTCTTCTCTACCGTCACAACCTACAAACGATAGGGCAAAAAAACAGTGCCTGCCCAATGCGTGTGTTACACTTGAATGACTGCTTCCATCTACTTACCCTTTAGTCCGCCGCCGTAGTGAATAAAGAGACCTTGGCAAGGAAAGCTTCTGAGGGCTGTTCAGTGAACACTGCATCAAGCTGGCTGAGCGTGTGACAATGTGAGGTGAACTTGAAGGGGTCCAAGTTCCAAGATTGCTTATGAAGGCTAAACGGAGGGTGTGTGGAGAAAGGGGGTCAGCAAAAATTGCTTATACGAAGTTAGTGCATCAAAAATACCTTCCACGAAGTTCTGCGAAGGTTTCTGGGATTTCGTTGCAGTCAGTTCTCCTACTGGCCCACCATTCCACGAACTGTCCACGAACAGCCTTGGGTTCTACGAAGGTCACGCGCCTTCCACGACGTTAGTAGAATAGGTTTTTGCAAAACCCTTTCTGTGCACTACCCTTCCGTTTGCCTTTGAGCTTAGGCCTCAACGACTGGGCCAATAATCTGGGCTAGTCCGGCCGAAGACGGGATCAAGAACAGGCTGGACTACTGGCCGTGCTTTCCAAACAGAAGTCACAACGATTGGCATGAAGGTGCACTAAGGCCACAACAGCCGTTGAAGGGGTTTCAGGCGGCGGCCGAGGCTTTCTTTTGTGCTGAAGCCATGAAAGGTCATGCAGACTGAGTTTGTACTTCTGTGGGGACACTTATCAACTTCCCACAATTCTTCTCATGTAGGTGCTCTCTCCAACCAAACTATGCATACAGTAGTTATGGTATTGTTGGCAATGACAAGCATCTGAGAAGCACATTTCAGCGTCTGAGCTGTTTCAGCATCGTGGGAATTGTCATTGCAGGCATCATGCCACAAGGAACATCCGTCTTGTGGATCCAGAGCGCCAGAAAAATGGAACACCATGTAGATCGCAACTCCAAAACCTCAAAGATTGCAATTGCAAGTGCCATAATGTTGGATCACGATTAGTAAAGGGTGCCTCTATAATGCTAAATTTTTCCAAAATTATTCAGACCCCCCTGTTTGAAAAATGGTACCTCTATAATGCTAAAAAAAATTTGGGCCCTATATTTTTATAGTGGAAACCCAATAAATCAGGGATTGAATTCCTTCTGAACCCTGTCCACCTGCACTCCCCCCTCCCTTCCCAGGCAAGCAGCCAGCAGCAAAGCAAAACACAAACAAACAGACCACAAACAAGATGTTAACTAACTAATTACAACCCTAGTCCTTGGCTGAGGAAGGCCTGCTTCTTGGCCTGAGCTGCTTCCTTGTGCAGGTGGTGTCTGAAGCACTTGTAGGGGTCACAGGCCAAGCAACCAGACTGCCACCTGCACTTAGCACACCTGCCCAGTGCAGCTTCTAAGGCTAAGACAGACTTAGTAGCAGACTCAGACAAATTCTTCCATGTGAAGGTGACTGAGTTCTTATCCACCAGCTCCTGAGCAGCCAAGTAGGCTGCAGAGGTGATATTCTTGAGGGTCTTGAGCTTGCTCTGAGCCTTGTCCAGGGTCTCTTTCACCTGAGCTTGCTGCTTGGAGAGCTTGTTTTGCTCTTGCTTTACTGCCTCAGTCAAAGCCTCAGCCTCTGAGGCTAGCTTGCCACAAGCTTTGTTGAGCCTGAGAAGCTGAGAAAAGCAACAAGGGGATTGAGCAAACCAAACACATCACTTGATTAAGCACAACCAAGCAACAGAAGAGGTCTCAGAACCAAAAAGATCCCTCACCAGGACTTCATCTGAGAAGGAAGCCATGAAAGCTGAGGAAGAAGCTGAGAGCTTGGGGCTTCTCTTGAGCTGAAGATCTGAGGCTGCAAAGCAAAAGGATACAGTAATGAATACTACAATCAATTACAAAAGATCCCTCACCAGGAATCCAGATTTGTTTTGGTGATAGTTTATTATAGAGGGACCCCTATTTGTTTGAGGGGGGGGACCCCTCTTTACTAATCAGGATCCAGCATTAAAGAACAGCAAAGCTGGTTTCCTTTCAATCAATCAGTATCTCGCCTACAATGATCATGAAGGCAGCTGCAGCATGGACAGCCCAATAGTGGATCCTGAGCAGCAAAGTCAACGGCTGTTAGCTTATAGAATTGGATACAGGCCGCAAATGAAGTATCACTTCATCATCTGCGGCACTTCATGCTGCTGCAAAATGTATTCCACTCTGCTGCCAACTGGAGACAGACTTGACTGTGCAGCATGGAGCATCATACTGAAAAGTAAGACTCAGGCCAAGTTCCAATGAATTTCGGTTTTCACCCTGGCGCCTGCAGGATGTTCATGAAATCCAAAATCCATAAGTGGATGTGTACTCCAAAACAAATGCTGAGAAGTAAGATGAAGTAAGCAAATGTTAAGAACACTCAGCGGGCCTCGGGGTTTTGAGTATTGTTTGGTGCATGCGAATGGCCAAGCGTCCCACACAGGCAGGAAAAACAAAGTGATCTATGTTCAACCTTAGCTCTCCCCACGCTTAAAGACGTCTGGGGTCTTGACGTCAACTTACAGAAAAATCCAAACAAAGTGTTGTATATGCGGAAAGAAAAGGAAGACTCAAACATCGGTTTGCAACTGACTGGCAATGTGCATTTCCCAGAAGAAGCTGTATGTCTGAACAAAACAGTGCAGGCTTAGCGGCGGCAGTCCCAAAAACACCATGACCATTCGATGGCTACTTTGGCCGTCCAAAAGTAGGGTCATCCTGACGCAAAAAGAACTTCAACTGATTGAGACGTATGACCTACAGCTTGTCAACTTCTGATGAAAAACACACACAAGCAACCAATCTCACAGACTTGGTCACGGCCCTTTATTCTGAGCCCTGCACAAACAGGCAGTGACAAGTGTTATCTTGATAAAGACCTGCTGGAGCACAGCAACAATCCCTTCTAAATGCCCCATGTCTGTGATGGTCCCTGCATATTCGACGTGATGATGCCTTTGCATAAGTCTTCATGGCTCTGAAAGCAAATCAAGCCCCTTCTACATTCCTCCACACTACAATACTCACTGCGGGTTGTGCAAGTGGTTTGCAGCATCACCAAAAACCTCACCAAAGCTGCGCCTGTTGAAACTCCGCACGATATCTATACGTCTATCCAAGCTCGCAGCTTTTTAGATAGAGTAGATTGTCAAAGCCACATGCCACATGAGTTTCAATCTGTCAAACAAAAGAGACACGACGTCAAGCCTTCGCTCAGGGCACACTTCGCAAAACATTCAGATACAATCGAAACGTCGTGTATGTTGAACTGTTGACCCCCTGTTTTACCAAATGTGAACGAAAACATGGAAAAGCGAACGCGGCCGTTTTCCGAGCTCGGGCCACTATGCGCGACCACGGGCGGATCTGTGTGAAATCTCTTACACTCCACCTTGACATGGGAGTGAAGTAAACTCCTATGTCACCTCTCTCTCCAAATACAAGTTCACGAAGTGGTCAAAGTTCTCATCCCACTCTCCCATCATCACCACCTTACAAAAGGTTCCGTAGTCGCGCCGATCATCTGGTCCCCACATGATGATATGGTCGAAGGCCATGTGGGTATACGTTCGGCTGTAGAGCGAAGCCAAACGCGTGCGGATGAACTCTTTCAGCTGGTTCACCCCAAAGATACCAGCCTCCTTCACACGACGGGCTCGCCGTTCTTCTTCAGGCTTCATGTACTTGAACAAGTTCTCAAAGTCCCACCAGTCTGCGTCCACTGGTGGTGGATCAAACACTGACCTGTTGTTGGGGTTCTCAGCAGCATCATTGAAGTTCTCTGGAGGTGTTGGGTTGTCCACGTCCATGTAGCTTGGGGGAGCGGCATCATTCACAAAACTTGGATCTTCACGCTCCGAAGCTGTGGGCTTATAGTACCTGTGGTACCCACTGACAGGATTGCCCATGAAGTACTCCTCACCACTAAAGGCCTCATCTTCGTTCTCGACCACTCTGTAGTCAGCCAAAGTGCCTGTCATGGGATCTCAATCAGTAATGATGTGCCCAGCTGTCCTCTGCTGAAATTCAGTCTCACCATGCCCATCAGACATCTCTTCATCAGGCTCGCTTTCATCATCAGCTACTGGACTTGGATCTCCTCGTGGTTCTTCTTCTGTTGTTCGAGTCATTTCTTCTAATGGCCTTTCAGCTTCTGGTACTTCACCTTCTGGCCGCTGTAGAGGTGCAGGGAGATTTCTGCCTCTTCTCACCACATTCCATTCTCCTCTGTTTGCTGCCAACCGTGCTCTCATGATCATTCCAATCTCAGCAAACTCATCCTGCTGCCTCTGAAAGTCCATAGTTTCCTCCTGTCTGAGGAATCGAAGGAAAGTTCTGAGGTAAACTGAACATTCGACTCGGTACCTGTAGCCGCAGTACACGCCATAGAGAAACACGAGGATCGTGTAGAGGGTCAACCACTTGAGAACAAACTACCATGAATAGGGTTCTTCAAGCATCTTCTCTTCTGTAGCTTCACTGGTTCTTTCTCCTCCGACCTTCTGTTGCAGAAGAAGCAACGTAACTGCCCTCACCAGCGTAGTTGGGATCTTGAATCCCCAGCTGCTCTTCTCTTCCACAACTGTCTGGATCATCTGTTTCTTCACCTCCTTCATCTGCTTTGCAAGCATCTTCTTTTCCAACTCTTGATGGAAGGTGTCCTCGCCTACCTTGGAGAAGGTTTCATCCTTGCCCTCAGCATTCATCTCCATGATCCCGATGAGGTGCATCAGGAATTCACGCCTCTGTCGAGTCAGCCGCTTCGTGCCAAGGTCTGACACATTGAGAAGGGTTGGAATCCCTTCCATCACCATCGTCTCCTTCTTGACTTCGAGCTGCATCCAGAGGTACTTTATGTCGATGTGCTTGAGGCGTCCAACCCCAAGGCGTTCCGTGAAGGCCCTGCACGAGCTGCTGTCTGTGATCGCTCGGATCAACACTGCCCTGCGGCTCAAAAACTGCCACAAGTCCTTCACTTGAATTGCCTCTGCCACACCTCCTGCCGAAGCCAAAAACTCTGCTTCACATGCCTTCTTGCTGCGGAACTTGGAGTGCGGCAGTAGCAAGCCATAGCCTTCAGTCCTCCTGAGATACAGGATGACATGCTTCACTTCAGCCTCAGCTCTCGATGTCGGTCGAGCCATAAATTGGCTGAGGTTTCGAACTGCATGTTGAATGTCGACACGGTCTTGACTGATGTAAAGGAGGGTGCCCAAAGCAGACCGGAATTTGAACTGCTCATCTCCTTCAAGGACTTCATCTTCTGGTCATCTTCTGGTCCTTCTAAGTTCTCTTGAGCACTCTCTGGTGTAGCCTTGCCTGCTCTCTTCTCCAACTGGTACAGCTGTAGCAGGTTGGGGATATGATCACCACTCCTTGCTGGGTAAAGAAACGCCGTTTCTTTAAGACATCTCACTGCCTCATCCTCTTGTTGGCTTTCTGTGGGAAGGATGCCTGACTCGCTGATCACAAATTTCTCCTTCATCACATTTGAAAACCACTCTAGGTGCTCCACCTTTCCCGCAATGATGAGGTCATCCACGTGGCAAACTGCTGCAAGCTCTCGATGTTCATGCCTGAACAATGATGGAAGGCTCATGTGGTTTTGGAAGCCCCATTCGATCAAATGAGTTGTCAAAAACTCAAACCACTTGGCTGCAGCATCACGTTGTCCTGGAAGACACTTGGAGAGTTTCCAATATCGCTTCTCTCCAGGCATCAACTTTTCTGCCTGTTCTGGTCGCCACCACGAAGGCTGTTCAACTAGTACCAGCTTTGTCGAACTGACCAACAGAAATGCATCCTTGATGTCAGCAAACATGACTTTCCAGCCAAGCAGAACATGGGTAGACAAGAGCAACCTTGTAGCGCTCAAGGAGGAAGTAGGCGCAAAAGTCTTCGAACTCGAGGCATCACCGCCTCGAAATTCTCGAGCCACAAACCGGCAACGCCGCTTCCAGCGCTTCTCCCTCACACACCAGTCGTAGACTGATCTCGTGGTCAGGATGCTCCCATTCTCCAACTCTTCTGTGGTGGGTTCTTCCAACACTTTCATTTTGAGCAGCCTCTCAATCTCCTCTTGGCCAGCCGCTTCTTCGATGATCTTGAGCTCTTCTGGACTGACCTCTGGAGGATGTCCTTCATCAATGTCCATCTCTGGATCTAATGCTTGCCACTCGCTAGAATCTTCTGCCTCGATGTATGACTCGATGTCCTCCTCCCAGGTCTCGTCATTCACTGGTAGCGCACGTTGTTCACATAAATTCGACTGATGTTCCCAGCGTACTGAGGAGGATATAGTCCTGTTGAAGGACTGCTGTCTGGCTGAGTTCTGGCTGACTTGGATTGAGGCTCCTGTACTTCTGAATCATCCAGAACTGGATCACCTTGTCGAGGGGTCATGGGAAGCTTGACTTCTGGAGTTACCGGCCTTCTTCCTCCAACATCATCATCATCATCATCATCCATTCCAAGTGGTAAAGGGGGAACACGCAGGTACTTCTCTGCTAATTCATCATCTGGATCTCCTTCAGGTCCTCTCTTCTCACCTTTAGCATCTTCTGTTGGGCTCTCATTGCCTTCATGGTCTCGGGCATACTGCTCCACGTCGTCAGCATCTTTGTCTCGAAGGAAGTGAGGCAGGTGCCTCGACTCCACTAGCTTGAGCTTTTCGTCCCGGACCTCGGACTCCCTTTCGGACCATAGGTGTAGCTGGCATCAATTTCATAGGTCTTCTGGTGTTGGGATTTCTGTATGGTTTGGTCTTCGCCAAAAACACATAGACTGACCTCCAAGGATCACTGGTCCTTCGAATTGCTTTGCCTCTCAAAAGCCCGGTGCTCCCAATCACCAAATTAAATGAAGATCATCTTCGATTGTTTCGCCAACCCACACTCCAGGAAGCCATTGAGGACCTTGCTTTGCACCTGGTTGTTTGTTCAACACCATGACAAACTCACCGAAGCAGACTACCTTGCCAATGTATCTTCGTCCAAAGGCGATCTCGAAAGGCGCAGCCTGAATTGCTCGATGAGCACCAAACCTGTTGAGCAACCATGCGGCATGTATGTATGCCCACTGCCACAAAGGGTGTTCACTAGCCAGGTTCAGTTTGCACTTATGTTGCAACATCTCCATGAGGGTGGAATGGATTGCCCGCGCAACCCTGCCTGTTTGACCTTTCTTCATGCTGAAGGTGATGGTCGTCTCCAGCCCCAGACCATGCCTCAAAGTCTTCACGTAGGTCAACAGGGCTTTCATGGTGGGCTCACAATCTCCCACAATCTCCACATTTCCATAGTGGTTGAGGGACAATGAAAAGCGCACAACATGCTCAGCTTGTCCTCTGAGATCTGAGCCCTTTCCTTCGACAGGGATGCACAACAGCATGCGTGTCTCACAATCCACGCCTCCCAAGACCGTCGCAAGCTCTGCATTCTTGTTGACTTCATCTGACCTGGATGTGCCAAAGGCATAGTCCAATTGAACCCCAGGGATGGCTTCTGAGGCATCAAGAGGTCTTTGAGGGTCAACACGACTCTTGCAAGAAATGCAGAAATCACACCAATCCTGACATGGAATGTGAGTCAATTCATGAAGTTCCCGTTCTTCTGCACTTGGTTGGCGTGGGACATGAACTGGAACCAGGCCCTTGTGTTGGTTTTGCTCTCGAAACAACCTGTTGGCAGTAGTGAAGAGCTCTCTATGTTCCATCTTCTGGATCTCCTGGTTTATGCGGGTCCAGATAGCATTCTTTGAACCACCGCGGCCAACTCCAAGGAACTCAGCTGCTTCCCTCGATGCTCGCAAAGAACTCCTTTCACTTAATTCAGCATTGTTCACAACCAAGGAACCCTTCTTCTCGAACATTGGAATGGGACCACTCCAAGGATCACCTTCACCATCTCGTTGTTCCACTTCTTCTGGAGTGATCTCTTGTTCACCACCAAGCTCAAAAGGAACATCTGGCTCCGAGGCAAACTGGAAGTCATTGCTATCGACCTGAGCTCCACCTGCAGTGACAGTTTGTTCTCCAACAACACTGCCGAAGAAAGAAATCGGCTCCTCCTTCGGATGTAGGATGGTCAAGGTCTGCGTCTCCATCACAACAGTCAGGAATCTCTGCATCAGGTTCTCCTTGTGCATAGTACCTGTTGCAATGCTCAACCAGCTCCCAGGTGTCATCCATCTTGCGAATCAATGTGGATCTCAAAGGCCACCAATTCAGGTTCCACATGAGCTGACCGTCCACAAAGTTCTTGGTCTCATAGCAAAACTTCATGGGATTGCCATCCCGTGTGGTCCTCCAGGCGCGAAGTCCATAATGGGTCCAAAAATCATCACTCAACTTAAGAACCACTCGGACCACCATCAACTCTTCATCATCCAGGGGCTTAGAAGCCTCACCTCCACAAAGTTCTCCAGGCTCCTGACACACTCTGCTGATGGTGCCGTAGAGAGCTAGTGAGTTGCGCTTGAAGTGCAAGGGAACTGAGCACGCACCGTCTGGAGCTTGAAGATGTACTCCGGCTTCTCCTGACCCAGGCATCAGCTTCCAACCACGCTGTAGTAGGCGTCCCAGACTGATCAAGGGACATTGGACCGAAGCAATCACAAAGTCATCCTCTATGATCACAGCCTCTTGTTCTCCATCACACTCAATCTGTGCCAGCTTCTTGCCGTAGGTCATGAGGCGTCCGCCCGAGCCACTAGGCCGACCACAATTGGCCATAGACTGTGGAATCAAACTCATGTCAGCACCAGAGTCCAAAACAATGAGCGTCCTGGAACTGCTTTTCTCTCACCGTGCAAGTGCTGTCTCTTGCAAGTGGTACATCTTCACCTGGCGAACTTGAGGTCGTCCACTGTAGGCTGATGTAGAAGCTGTAGATGCTTTGCCACCTGCACTGCTGGCAATGTCACTTTCTGCTGTAGTGCTGACAGTTGATTGGGTCTGGTTGGTGACCGTCTGAGCTCTATTCTTGTTGGGGCATTCGTTTCCCCAGTGACCTGTCTGCCCACAGATTCGACAAGTGTTTCGATCTTGTCCGCCTCCTTTGCCTTTTCCACTGCTACCACCATACTTGCTCTTTCCTTTCTTACCGCCTTTCTTTCCTTTTCCCCTTCTTCCCTTTGCCTTTGAAGTTCTTGCCTCCTTGTTTGCCGCCATGGCCAAAGGGAAACCATCCTCCACCTTTCTTGTCCTTGCCCTTGTACTTTCCTTTCTGCTTGCGCTTGATCTGACCAACCTGATCAACCTCCATCGGTGTAGGTCCACCTGAGCTGTGCCATTGAACTTTGAACCATCTTGAGGTAGGAATCTCCACTCCAAGCACGGACATTCTTGTCCAGCACCACCAAGCGGTCTTTGAGCTTCTCGTAGGTGGCCGTGTCATCCATGGTCATCCCAAGGTATCCCAAGGTGCCTTCTGAGGTTCGGTTCAAGGCATTTCAACACCGTGGACACGACTAAATCGTCGGGCATCTCGTGTCCAGACGAGAGTCTGTACTGCTCGAGGAGCAAGTCCAACTGGAGGATATTTTCAAGCATTCCCCTTTCTCGATGTTTCCACAGGAACTGCGCTGGACACGGATGGAGAAAAACGCGCGGAAATGAGTCCTGATTGCGCAGGTGAGGAAGACAGAATGCCGCCAGCTGATCTGTCGTACATTCGAACAAGGCTGAAGTGCCTGCAACCCAACCTGGCAAGGGCGACCCTGCCCCTTGTCTGCCGCTCGAAGGCCACTGGTGAATGGCCTTCAAGGACAACAATCAAAGTCCTGATACAGTGTGTTGCATACTTCGAGAATTCAGGCCCAACTAGTTAGTACACTCTCTCATGTTTCACACGTCTCACCTCAGAACAGTCGAAACTCTGCCCACATTGGTTGTTGGGGTTCTCTGGCGCTGGTGCTTTTTGTGGTTGTTTTTGGGTTTGGGTTTTGTTTGTGTTTGGTTCTGTGGTTTTTCGGGTTGCTCCCCTTACCAATATGCAGAGTTTCTATCCTTCCTACGATGACCTGGGCACACCGCCCACACTCGTGGAAAAAACACTCTGCAAGAGCCAATCCAGCTGGAGGACGATGGCGAGCCTGTAATGTTGCCCAGTTTGTCCGTTTTGAGCTGGAGCGGAATGACATTCGGTATGGGATGCAAGACGTGACGGTGCAATTCTCTTACAGTGGCGGCCGAGCGCAGTGCTATTATTACAACCTGCATGAGGAGAGAAAGCGTTGGCAGAAAGATCTCGTAAACCTTTGCGCCGCATTTCGATGTTGATTAGTTCGTCATGCCCAGGGTAATCACCTGGGCCCTTCTGGCTGACTTCAGAAACGTTGCATCAACTTTCTTGGAGTCGCAGAATCTTTCGCTCGAACATGGGCCCCAACCGATGTGAGCTCATCTACAACCATGAGAAACAACCGTCAATTGAACTGTCGCTTCGAGTGAGTCCACCTGTAGTCGAGCTCCTTGAGACACTCAGGCTCCCATTGCAGGGGCTCACGCCACGAAGCCTCAACGCCCCCCAGCCAAATCCCCAGCAGTTGACCTTCAACGCAAGGGTTCAGCAGGCCCTTCCCCCATGATGAGCAACTGGCGCGCTCAGCTCCCTCCGCAAGCTCAACTTCTGTGGGCCCTGTCAGACGAAGGGAGTGCCCTAGTCAACCCAAAGCCAGTGCTCCCACTAGAAAGAGACATGATAGAGAGGTACGATTTACCCTGCAGATTGAGCGAACCTCAGCGAGTGCCCCCTCCCCAGCAAAAGCCAAACCAGGACCGCCCCAACGAAGGGAACACGGTTCGGGGGATGAAGGTGATGCCCAGGCAAGCCAGCCTGATTCAGGTTTCCGCCCCCCACCGCGGCCTTTTGCTCATCCAAAAAGTGTCCGGTGCAGTAAGAGAGAGGGGGCCCCCTGTTCTTGGCGAAAGTACAAAGCTGTTCTTATGAAAATTTTTGTGTTCTGGGTTCGTTTGACCTATTGCAGCCATGCTGACAAGTAGCTGGCCCCGGAGAAACATCTCCCTCGAGCGCCAGGAGTGTCAGCTTGGCGAGAGAGCTCGCTGCACTGCAGCAATTGGCTCAACTAACCGACCCGGATCCCCATGGCGGAGCCGCTGTGACAGCTGCCATGCAACCTCCCGTGCCGCCTTGGGCAACTGGAAACACACCGGAACCGGTTGCTCTCGACGGTGGCAACCAAATTGATGTCACCCCGTGAGACCAATTTTGCAGACATAGATTACGGGGTCCTTGACATTCAGGTCTACTTCATGAATGTTTACCTGCTGCATTATTTCGCGCTCACTCCGGAATATAATAAAAATGAAACCGCTGTTGAGGGGTGGGCTGAAAATTTTTCATTCCCCCCGGCTTTTTTGAAGATGGTTGTCCGATACCAAGGCCGAACCATCAATGTCTTTGTACAGTACTGTCTTGCTGTCAATGACAAAGGCATCAGTGTCTATGGTCCAAACAAGGGTCACCACCGACGCCTCATATATCACGCGCTCTATCATGAGCGGCCACTCCTGGAAGTCTTTGACGCCAAGGTTATCAGTCTTTCGAGGGAGCCATTGGGAAACCCGCATACGACTTGGTCCTGGGCCCGTAGTTGGTCAAAGCAAGCGAGAGTGTCCTGCAAAGTGCTTCGGGGTTGTGCACAGCAAATTCACTTGGGCGTTTTTTGTTCTCTGCTTGTCAATTCTGCCTTGCCACTTCACTAGATTTAGACTTCTACAATCACATGATAGGTTTTTTGCTGTGAAACGAAACCTTCAGTGCTGTTCCTAAACAGGGTCTACGCAACACAGTTTGCTGCTGGGTTTCTTCGGAGTTTGGTCCATGTGCACTTTGACATGTAGTGAGACTCATCGAGCCATGATCATGTGGTACTGCAGCTCCTTTGGCTCCTAGCAGCCTGTGTCACTTCTCTTGGAGCCGGTCACGAGCAGACGTGCAGTCGACCCGTGTGGAGGGCACCTCGAGTCGTGTCAGAGTAGCTAACTTGCCACAACCGTCCAGACGGCCGCAGGGTCCACGCAGCGGCAGGCAACCAACCCTAGTTGGTGGCCTGCCCCCTGTCGCTAGCCGTCCATTCGTGTGTCTGCCCTCATGTCTTGGCATGTTGCTGACAGTCCTGATCCTTGGGCGCCTCTTGGTGATGTTGATATGTTAGACAACGACTTGGATCTAGTGGACTATTCTGATGAAGAGTACGTCCAAATAACCCCCTACATACAATCCAGTCCAGGGTGGATCACCCAGGCCAAGGCGCACGCCTTTATTCATGGCTGCCGGAGCACCGAAAATGATGCCAAAACGCAAGCCTACCAGGCTCTTCGCACACCCAATTCGGTGCAATCCTTTCTGGGACTGGAAAGGACAGAGGACGTCCGCTCACAGCCTATAGACAGGGATGCACTGTCGACCAGTCAGGACATGTCCCCGACCATACTGCCATCGTCCGTTGTTTGCTTCAACATCAAGACCTAATAGACCAACGTGACATGGTCTGATTGTGGACAACCAGGGCCCTGCTGAGGTGGAATATTGGCCAGCCTTTGCGCGATGGTGGTCCTCCCGACGCCAACTGGTTGGGCTCCTAGGCGAGAAAACGGACATCCTTTTGGATACAAACTGATCAGCAGAGTGGGCTTCAGGATGTCCCGTACTATTGGGCGGGTGTCTTTGTGCTTGAGGTGGCCAGATTCCTCTATCCCCGAAAGCACTTTGGCCTGATTGATGATGACCGAAAAAGATCGGGTAGCAACCTTATGCGGTAGACTACCTACCTCCCCTGGATCTTTAGCTCACAGCAGGCTCTCACACTCGTCCGGTACGGTACGAAACCTTTCCTTCAAACCTCCGAACACATCGGAAAACTTCAAACGCTGCACAAGCTGCTCTCAGACGCTCGCACCCTTTTCTCACACTAGCCAAACGAATTGGCCTTGAGCCAAAACATATCCCGTAGCGCTAAACTATACAAAGAACACACGAAAAACATATTAAAAGTCTCTTAAAGTATCTCCACACACAAAGAACTCTTTCAAAACTTCCGACTACGCTACAAGTCGCTTCTAAACAATTAAGAAACAAAATGTTGTACTACCGCCAGGTTCCAAATCTTTCACAAACAAACTTAAACGAAATTTATGCATCGCAAACTGCAAGCATCGAGCGAGGTGGACATCCCGACATGGAATTTCTTCACCCCCTCTTGGACACAAAGCTCGAAACGAACTGGCTGACTTCAAGCCTTCTTATTCTTCTTCAATGAGGACAGACATTTGGCACAAATATCTTTCGACATAGGTACGCGCATGCCCGAGCAAGTTGGATTCAAAGGAACCTTGCTCCCACTCACTGGAATATATACTTTTGAGCATTGCTCAATGCCTTTCGGAACTGGATAGCTCTTCGGCATATCGACTTTAAAAGTCACTAGGCTCTCAGGCTCAGCATGCTTCCGACACCGCAGGCAGCAGCAGGTCAGCAGGCATCCCAAAAGAAAACCGGCTGCAAAGACCAAAGCGGTCGCTGCTTCCAGGCTAAGCGCCGCAAGCGCCGTTTCCACATCCGGCATCATACCTCGGATGGTATAAGCTTCATTCCAAGAAAAGCTGTATCTCACAGTCTGCAAAAACCAAGACTCTTCCGGAATGTGCAATCGAAAGTGCTCGCAGAAACGTGCCATTCGGCTCAGACAACGTGCAAGATTTACTTGGCTATTATGCTTCTAATTTTGCTTTAAATCCTTTAAGGATTAGCTCGCAAAATTTCCTGGGGTAGTGTTGCGTTTCCTTCCAATTGACTTCCTTGGACGGCAATGATCATGACGACCATCGCAAACGCAAACCTTCAGGCTTTCCAACAATCGAGTACTATCTGTTTCAATCCTCCAGGTCTTTCTGATCAACTGACCTTTCTGGTTCAACTTGACTGAACATGCATCCACAAATGTTGAAAACGTCTTTCGCTTCCTCAGAAAATCTCTAGTCTGATTCCATCCCCAATAAGCACATCTCTTCGGCCATTCAATCGCTACAAAATCGGCTACTTCCGACATCCGTAAGAAACCTTTCCATAGCTTCTTCTGAATCTGGTACAATTCTCGAAGATGACCCATATAGTCCTGACCAAGTTTCTTGATGCAAATATACTGGAACGGACATCCTCCGGTGCACGGAATTGACGACCACAAGACAACAAGCTTTCCTCTCTTCCTGTGGCTCACCATCTGCTCCCGAACTGACTCGATTGTGTCCGACCGTCATTTACGATCAGGCAAGTACACAGACCTTGAAGTCTACGCCATCCGTCGCATGGCCACCAGCCTTGAAGAACCAGGACGCAGTCGAGCTCTCCACCTCCTCAACCAAGCTTTGAGGTTTCGCAATCTTACCCCACCGAAAAGCAACCTTCCCTTGACCATCCCCTTCCTAGCCCAACCCAGCTTCCAGCCAGACATTCAACGCTGGCTAGCCCAGCTCCTTCGAGTACGTGAAGCAGCTCACCCCACACTACGCAGTCGCCTGCGCAACCACCGGCGATGCGAAACACTGTTGGGCACCCCCCCCGACCTTGATCAACTTCCTTGTGGATGCGATCATCTTCGCAACCTCCTTCTACCTACTACCTACGATGGCTCCAATGGTGACCATTTGATCGTCACCCTCGCAGACTTACAACTTCCCGTCCACCTCCGCCGATTTTGAATGCCAACATGAACAGCACTTTGTTTCCCACCAAGCAGCGCTACTTCGACACTGCCCGGCGCAACCTCATCAAATGGCTTCGACATCATGGACTCCCGACTACTCTATCCCACCACGCCGACTCTTTTCTTACAATCCAGTGGAACCACCACAACCTCCAACTTCACCACGAGGATCGCTTCACAGCCAGATCAGTCAAACAATTGCAAGAATTCCTGGGCGACAAAGTTGTCCTCCATCATGCCGATCATGAACTACAACACCTCAGGATCTTTTGCGCCCACATCTACTTTCGTGGATGTCTCGCCACCTGGCAATCACCAGAACTTTTCCAACCATTGCCAGATGATACCGACCAGACCATCTCCAACATCATCCAACACACGTACCCCGCACACCTTCGCCATAAATACAAATGGGGCTTCAACACCAAGTTCAAGATGCCGTATGGAGTCGTCCACTTGAAAGCCAAGAAACAATGGCGAAAAGGTCGCGCTATCGTCTCCTACTTCAAATTCTACTATGGCCCACTCTTACGCGTCACCTCCAATGTCCTCAATACTATGATCCATCGCCTTCTACCTCAATCACCAGGACAACTCTCCATTCCTCAACTTTGGCACCACTTCCACGACTACCTTCAGGACACCCCAGTTTGCGTGGATCTTTATGCAGTCAACGAGGATTTGGTAGGCTTTTTCAATTCCGTCCCCCAAGACCGCCTGATCCAAGCCGTCCATAGCCTGGTCAACCGCTGGCAACACACAACCGGCGACCCAATCCAGCTCGCCCACATTGGCCGTCACCACCGCAAACATCCCACACAACGCACACTGCGCACCAGCGACATCACCACTATTGTAGCCTTAGCCGGGATTGGCTCTCAGCTCTCCCCTGCCTTATGCAATGTCGCCATCACCCTCATCGAACACTCGTGGCATCAACTCCACCACTCCTTGACAGACCACACCGAGATCCATTTCGTCTACTACCGGTACGTGGACAATCGCTTGATCGCATTCAACCGTACCTTCCTCAAGCACCTTGCCATCCAGACTTTGGTTCACCCGGACTTCTATGGCAACCCAGTGGAACTGGAACCCGTGGAAGACATGCACTTATTGGGCTTCGATGTCGACTTACACCAACGGACTATCTCCTACATCCCACCTGATGCTCCATGGAAGATACGCGACTATGCCTCAGCTGGATCCACACGACTACGACTTTCAGGTCTACACTCCAGAGCCCACCTCATCCGCAAGTACACCTACGCGTCCTCGGCTGTTGAGCGAGCGCTCACTCAACTAGCAGGCCTATACGTCCAAAAAGGACATGATCTTCGCAGCTGTCGCCAAGCCCTGCAAAAAGCTTGCGTCTTAGCTGCTCTCACTTCCCAGCAGTTCTGTCCCCCATGCAGAGTGCGCCGCGCCCGGCCCTCTGTGTGTGTGTCAACACCTGTTTCCAAGGTTCTCATAACTAACTTACGACACTTGCCGTTGGACTACATTATGCCACCGTTCTACTCAGTTCCAGTTTCAAGCAGCATTTTGGCAGTGAATCTCATTCCATCCACTGCCCAACGAAGACGGTGGTTTGAGATTGTGAAGCGAGAAGGGACGCCTTCTCGTGTACCTGCAGGCCAATTTTTAACTCGTCGTTTCACCAATCTCTAAGAAACATTGTTAAACATCTACAACTCCTTCGACCCTGCCACCTTTTGGTTTTCGTTCTTGCCGTTTCAATCAAGTCAAGGGGAACTTCATACTGATACTAGCTCTTGCGAGCAACAATCTAAGTGTATGTGGACGAGGGAGCATGTGTTTGGGAAGGGGGGGTTCCGTATAGTTCCATAAATCGACTCGTTTCTTTTGAACATCGAGCGTTCTTAATTTTCAACGCGCAGAAATCAAGCATTTCGAGCAGAAACATACTCGAGCAGAAATTAATGTATCGAATGAGGTTCTAGGTAGATTGGAATATGACATGAAATGTTATGAGATCTCCAACAGGTCTCCTCTATGGTTGTGGGGCCGAAAAGGATTCAAATTTTGATCTCTTGGAGGGTGGTAATTTGGGGGCGTGCCCCGGCCCGTAACTGTAAATCCTTTCCGCATCTTTGTTCTCCTTATCTCTTTCCCACACAAGTTGCGAAGTCGTCCTCCTGGAGAAACGTTGAAGCAAACTGAAGCGAGTTTAACTGAACAAAGAGGCCCCCCGAGTTGACGAGTTGCCTCCAGTGAAAATTCTTTTGGGACTGCGTGGTTGGGGAGAAGCTGCCACCAAAATGTTGTTGGGGATGATGCTCAGTAGCCAACCTGGGACAACCTCACTACCAAAACCTATAAAGTATTAGTATTAAGTACAACTCTTTACGTGAAGGTTCACCCTTCCACCCAAAAGGCCTCTTTCCATTCTCTGAATTGCAACACGCGACGTGCAAATCTTCTTGAGAGAAGCCGGCAGCTGCGGCGGCAATGCACTGCGGTGATCCGCCAGGTGGGACACGCCATGCGCCCAATTCCGTGCAACATGCTTCCACCCTTCCTTTTCTGGGGGTGGGTGTTCGTAGACTGTTGGATGTCGTGGCTCAATCTTTTTAAAGCCCAAAGGGTGGTAGGCCGCTAGGAGGATTATGTAGCAACTAGCTACTAGTTCGCTACGACGTATGGAAGTAGGATAGCTCACGGGCTTCCTTGAAGCGCTCGCACTAATGAGATTGCAGACCATCACTTCTAGGTTGAAGGCCATTGGTTCTAGGTTGGAGGCCATGGCTCCTAGGTTGGAGGCCATCGCTCTTAGAATGGAGGCCATCGCTCTTACTTAGGTTGCAGGCCATTGCTTCTAGGTTGGAGTTTAGGTTGGAGGCCATCCCTCTTAGGATGGAGGCCATCGCTCCTAGGTTGGAGGCCATCGCTCTTAGGTTAGAGGCCATCGCTCTTGGGTCGGAGGCCATCGCTTCTAGGTCGGAGGCCATCGCACTTCTATTGGAGGCCATCGCTTTTAATTTTAGGTTGGAGGCAATCGCTTCTAGGTTGAAGGCCATCGCTTCTAAGGTTCAATGCCATCGCTTCTAGGTTCAAGGCCATTGCTTGTAGGTTGGAGGCCATCGCTCATAAAGACCATCACTTGCAGGCTGAAAGCCATCCCTTTCAGGTTGAAGGCCATCGCTTCTAGGGTGGAGGCCACCGCTCTTAGGTTGGAGGCCATCGCTTCTTGTGGAAATCTGTAACCCTGAGGACTGTGATCCATGTCGAGCTAATTCACCACCAGTGAACCAGGTGAGTGTAGAGGACCACCTAGGTAAACCTATTCTTTCTTCCTGACGTCAGGTACCATGCATTCGACGCCATTCGATGCATTTCGTTGCCGGATACAGCCGTATCCTTCGAGCTTTCGTTGCCTCATGGCTCAAGGCCATGCACGAACCATGCACATCATGTGGAAAGAAGAAAAAGGTCCGAGTGTCTTGGAGGGTGGGAGATGGATCCATGTTTTGTTCCTATGTTTGATTTTTGAGGTGTATGGGCCCCTAGGATTCCCTTCTTTTTGGGGTCATATGCTTCGCATGGTAGCGGAGCTTATGGTGCTCCTTAGGATCTATCTAGGACGACGTATAGATATCCAGGTCGATAGGACATTTCACATCCACCCATCTGTTTTTCGAGCCATGGCCAAACGAACTGCTGTTGAACTGGATCGTGACCGGTCCCCAAGAGGCCGGAGTGGAGGCCCAACCAGAGGCCAATCAATGCCTGCGGACCTAAGTACTCCATCGTTCAGCAGACCTGCAGTGGATCATTCGACATCTATTCAACTTGAAGGCCAGATCACGGAACTGACCAAAGGACTTCAAATGATGGGTTCTCAGTTGCAGACACTTGCAACCATGGTTGAGAGTCAACAACATGCTTTCCAAAAGACCCATGACCCATGATACATTTCAGATGCAGCAAGCCATGATTCAAGGTCTTCAAGCCCAGCGTACTCCACTGCCGATTTCACCACAAGGTGGAAATGTACGATCAAGTCCATTTGGTGCTGCCACAGCTGCAGGGATACAAGCAAATGGACAATCACCCTTTGGAACAATTTGTCAATCCACGACCAATCAGACAGCAGCTCAGCCGAATGGTGCAGCTACCGGATCAGATCCTTCGAATGTTGCTGTCAATGGACCAAAGATTGTACTCCCTGGAGGGATTGAGATCCCGCTTGGTGGTGCATCTTCGGCCACGACTGCCGGAACAGGAGGGACTTCTGAGAAGCCAGTTTTAGATGCTTTTCAACGGTCTGACAAGTGGCTACCAGAGATGCCGGCTGTTGATTCAAAGAATTGGCGGACACGGACAGAGGAGATTGTGGGCTTTGAGACATTCATGGAGAATTTTTCAGCCTGGTTAGGTCTCGTTTCAGCCGCATTCGCCAGCGAGGTACGTTTCGCCATGACTTCGGATAGTCCCATCGATTCATCCATGTTGACCGACGACCAGAAAGCCCGTGGTGTTCGATTGTTGAACATGTTGAGGTAGGTTTTTCGTGACACGCCGAAGGCCAGAGTCATCTTGCTTGCTTACAGTGAGTCATCACATCTTGGAGAGCGCAATGGATTTGAGGCCCTTCGTTTGATCTCCCATGAATACCTAGTCAGGTCACGACAGGAAGTGATGCATTTCAGGAATTCCTTAATGGGGCGCACCTTCAAGAACAATAGTCACGGAGTTGATCAAGCAGATGGAACTTGAAGAAAGCAGGTATCAGAAGCTCTTGAACATGCTTCCAGCCTCGATTTCCAAAGTCGGGTTGGAACTTCAGTCCACTGACCTTGCAATGCTTTTCCTTCGCTCGTTGCCCATGCAGATCCGTGAATACACAACCATGCATAGCAATACTGATGATTGCAAGGATCTCAAGAGTGCAGCATTGAAATACGAAACATCTCAACGGCTCTGGACTGAAATTGGAGGTAACACAGCATCACAGTATATGCAGAGCATGTTCGACCCAAACAAACCACCGAAAGGAAAAAGTAAAGGAAAAGGAAAAGACAAGGGAAAACGATCCAATTCCAGCAGTCCCAACAAAAGGGCTGAGGAAAAGAGCGACAAAGAAAGGAATGCAGTTTGTTTTCGGTGCAACAGAAAAGGCCATTTCCAAAGCAATTGCCGTGCCCGCACCGATAAGGACGGCAATCCCCTTAATTCGAACGAGAAGCCCAAGAATCAGATTGAACAAGCATCAAAAGGCACCTCAACCACCGATGGAAAGGGAAAGGGCAAAGATGGTAAAGGTAAAGGTAAGAAAGGTAAAGGTAAGATGCAGGAGTTCGTGTCGGTTGATTCAGTTGAGCAGCCTGAGTTGGAAGAATCTCCTGCAAGCCGAGCGGCATACGCCGATCCTCGAGCTCCTATGAGCCCTTTCGTTGCGTCCCAGACCTCTTTGTCATCCCCATGTTTGCAGACCATGGCACAATTCGAGAATTTGGTGAATGCTCAGGACTGCAGCTTGGGTTTAAGTTCACATTTGTCAGTAGGCAGTGATGTGTTTGAAGCATGTTTGAAGGACGAGTCTCTCTTTCCACTTGGTGATATGTTGAAACAGCATACTTTTGCATCATATCCAGGAAGACGTTCTTGGTTTATGCCATTTTTGATGCCCGCATCGAGTGATTCTCATCAGGAACATTCGGATGTGTGTTGGTGGTTGATTGATTCAGGAGCAAGTGCCTCTGTTGTGAGTAGTCGATTCCTTAGTCATTACGATGTACTTCACCAGATGAAGCTCCCCACCAACAGGAATGAAGGGTTCTCTTCCGCCTCAGGCGATGTGATCGTACCAACGGCCGCTGTTTGCATCCGAGCGCATTTCCGCATGACCTCCATTGAGAATCCCCGGGTTAAAGTGTTGAAGGAGTGTCTCATTGCGGCTTTTGTTGCAGATGTTCCCAATAACGTTTTGAGCGTTGGAACTTTGTTGAAGAAAGGGTGGACACTAGGAAACTCTGGACCAAACATGGAGGTCACCAAGGAAGGACATCGCCTTCAGGTCATCACGTGGCAGAATGTGCCATGGGTGTTCCACGAAGAGTGTGGATCATTCACGAATGACGCTGTCGTTGCGAGATCTCCCACTATGTCTAAGACATCTCGAAGGGAGCCAAAGTCCAAAGAGCGAGTACATGTTCATTTTGGTGATACTCAAGAGTATTTGTTTGATGGAGAGCCGTTCCTTATGACCACTAAACGTAAGGCAGAGAGTGAGTTGCCTTTTTGAATTGTCGCCTGAAACCGTTTATCGGACTCAGCCTCAAGCCGATCCATCACCCGATAGCCGAACCGCCGTTGGGGTCTCAGAGACTGCCGGGCAGTCAGGAGCCGCTTCGTCGTCTTCAGTTGCTAGGAGGGTTGATGATAGTCAGATTGTAAGTAATGAGCCCAATCCCAGTCCTGATCAATCAAAACAGGTTGTTCCGTTCGTGCCGGACTCAGCACCAGGTCCTCATTCAGGCCCTCCGGGAGACATGTCTGTGCCTCAAGCTCAGGGAAGTTCGTCAAAGGCCAATTCATCTGGTGTTGAAGCATCTGAAGAATCCTCATCATCCAAACACCCAATCGTCTTGAAAAAGAACCAACGTGTCCGACAGTCCTTGGAAGAGCATCGCAATCAAGGCCATTTCCCGTTCCATGAAGAGTGTTTGTCTTGTTCTGCCGCCAAGTCCGTGACCCAGAGGCGAAGACGCCATAAAGATAGGATTTATTCTGAGATTAGTGCCGATTTTTTCTTTCTGGAGACGTATAAATTTCTCATCCTGGTTGACATGTCAACGGGAATGAAAGGTTTCGTGCCCACCTCTCCGGTCATCAAGACCAATCAGGCTTGGCTTAGGAACTGGCTGAATGAGTTTAATCTTCTTGGAGAATCCCGTTTTCCTCTCGAGATCTTGACTGATGCCGAGGAAGGCGTGAGCCAGCTTTTCCTTGGTCTTGACATTGGCCGGGATTATGCTGTCCTTAAGTCTGCGCCTCAAGCCCATCAAACAAATGGACACGCTGAAGGAGCTATTCGAATTGTCAAAGATGCCATCGCCGCACTTCGTCAAGACTTAAGAAGTAATGGTGTTGATTTGAATTTATCTGATCGAGATCGAAGAAGCTTGAACGCAGCAATAGCCTATGTATGCCATTGTTCGAACCTGCACTCCACATATCTTGACACCAAACGATCGCCAAAAGAGGTTGCACTAGGAAGAAATTTCGTCCTACAGACAGCCATGTTCGGCGCCACAGTTCTTGCCGAGGTGCCGGATAGCCTTCGAGACAGTGCAGTGTCCCGCTTCGAGAAGGCAGCATACATTCGTCCCGAGTTCAACTCATTAGGTCACGTATGTTGCTGTGTTTTGGCAGGCGCCGAACGAATTTTTGTTGCACGAAGTATCAAAATCCTCACGCCGATAACCTTTGAAGTTCGCCTGGCACCTACTTTCCTAATGTCATATGACCGCAGTCTTTCTAGAAAGAGTCTAGAGGCCGAGCACCAGAAGTTGGACATTGAGAAAGCGGGTGAGGACATTTCTTTGGTTGATCGGGCTTCATGAACGAGCCGCTAACGGCTGAGGCCGTGACCCGATTTCGAGCTGCATTGGGGAGATTAGGCTGGATGACCCAAACGTGTTTGCACCTATCTATCTACTACTCCCTTTTGGCTACAGGTATGTCTGAGCCACTAGTGAAGCACGAGCAAGCGCTCCGATCTCTTTTGCGTTGGCTGCATAGTCATCGAAGTTTTGTCCAGCATTTCCCTTCGCCTGAATTCCAATTCAGTGATGATAACATGAACTCAGGGAGCAAGATCGTGATTTACAGTGACGCTTCCTGGGCTCCCCTTCGGAGTCTGAAGAGAAGATCGATTTCAGGCATGGCAGCATTCTACAAAGGTAGTTTAGTTAAAGCATTCAGCCGAATCCAGAGCATTGTAGCCACCAGCTCATGTGAAGCTGAACTCTCAGCAATTGCAGAGTGTGTTCAAGAATCTGTAGGCCTAAACCGACTGGCCGAACATCTCAGTACGCAAGCTCATGTTGAAGGCCTAATTGATTCTATGTGTTCAGCTGTCACTTTCAACAAATTGTTCATCCATTTGTTTGGTATCAACAAGGATGATGCTGTAATCCCTGTCGAAATCAGGACTGACTCACAAGCCGCCATTCGAGTCCTGCAAGCCTCCGGATTGCAGAGGCGATCTCGTCACGTAGAACGTCGTATTTGTTTTTGTCAAGATTTAGTGAAACGTGGACTTGTAAAACTTGTGTGGGTTGATGGCAAATGGCAAGTGGCCGACATCTTAACAAAGACCTTGGGGTCAAGTTGTCTAGTCAATTTAGAGTTTCCATGGGATTCTTGGAGGAAGATGAAACAGACCCAGCAGTTCACGGAACAGCAGTGGCAACCTCATCCAGTCGCAAGAATGCCAGCAAATTGTCTTCAATGTTGAAATCGAGACCACTTGTGTCCCAGAGCGTCCAAACGACAAATGTTGTTGAATCTGAGAGCGAGGACCGAACTAATGGTTCCGTCCTGTCGTTGACCCAGAGTGCCATCATTGAAGCTTCTAGTCTCGTAGATGTGGTATCTAGCTATGAGATCTTGATTTTTGAAATTTGTTGCTATCCAAACAGCAATTTGGCAAACGTTGCCATCCAGGCATTCCCCTATGGAGCTTTGATCGTGCGTTGCACCGAATCTTCGCCATTGGAGGAATTCCAAGATCAGACTATTCGCACGTTGAGTGCACATCACAGAGCACCAAATAGGTTCTCATATATCCATATCTCTTTGCCGTGCACAGGAGGAAGCTCTTTACAAAACCTCTCGGACAATGAGGCTTTGAAGAGTGAACATGCTGAGAAGTTTTTTGCACTGCTTGCGCAATGCAAACCGATTCTCAAGCTTTGCAGTTTGTGGACCTTCGAGTTGCCCAAACGGAGCACGTATTGGAAGACCGAAGTCATGAAAGATTTTATCACACACTGTGGCGTCCCCATCTTTTGTAACATGCCAAAGTTATGTGCTTGTGGAGGACCCCGTGTGGCAAAGAGCTTTTTGTTCATCAGCACGCATCCAGGTGCCATTCAATGTTTGCGCCCTTTCACTGAATGTGAGCATTCTTCGCATGAGAGCTTTAATGCGTCACAACGGCGTAAGACTGGAAGATATCCAGAATTGTTGGTCAATGTCCTTATGGAGGCCATTCGATCGATCCATCAGACCTACACGCCGAAGGCGGGGTCCGGGTACGTAATGTACCACCCAACTTGGGAGCCACCAGCTATTTTGTACACCGTCGGTAAGCTGCAAGGGTTTCCAATCGAGTTTGAGCATGCCAGTAGCTTTGGAGCGACTTTATAATTGATAGATCTTTTGCTCAAAGAGAAATATCTCGTGAACAGATGCTTGAACTGATTGTCCTCGCCATGTTTGTGATGCAATGCTTCATGTTTTTGGCCGCATGCTGTTGCATGATGCCGAAGCGACAGCGTAAGTCGTCGGAAAGTGCTGGTTCCTCCTTTGATGATGAAGTCGCAGAGGAGAGCTTGCATGTTCCAATGAGCGCAAAGAAGCGCATGCATCTAGCAAAGCGCTTGAGGAAAGGAAAGTCGGGAGCAACCTCTGATGCGCGTGAAGCTGAAGATCCTGCCTTTGTCGCTGGTCCAAGCTCCTCACACGACGCAAGAGATCCAGCTCCTCCAAATGATGTTCCAGCTCAGATCACTGATGCTTCTGTTCCAGAGCCACCCGTGGTGGATCAAGTACGAGATTACTTCACAACGAAGTCTGGAAAAGCCTTCCATCTTGGCGATTGCCAGGTGATTCGTGACCGCCTCAAGGATGCCACAATGCACGCCGACCTCGTGGCCGAAGAAGGAGCATTTGGCAGCCATTGAAGGGGTACTTCACTCGACCAAGACCCGATGCACGATGATTCCAAACTTTGCTGGAGTACAGTATAAGACCCCGTGTCCTTTTTGTATCCCATCCACCGATAAATGATATCGTCGGAAGCTGATGAAAGTGATTTTTTGTGGTTGAGTCGAGCTCCCACAGCACTCGGTAGAAGAAGAGGAAAATTGTGATTTTTTCGGATTCTCATCGAACTAGTTGTCCACATTTCCCACAAATGCAGAGCATTCGTTCTTTTTTGTTCCATTGAACGCTTTCCCAGCAGGTTGGAAGACCGCCTCCTCGACGGTGCACAGCTAAGCTTTCAATGTGTAGAGCACTGGAATTATCTCAAAAGGGGGTGTGGAAATCTGTAACCCTGAGGACTGTGATCCATGTCGAGCTAATTCACCACCAGTGAACCAGGTGAGTGTAGAGGACCACCTAGGTAAACCTATTCTTTCTTCCTGACGTCAGGTACCATGCATTCGACGCCATTCGATGCATTTCGTTGCCGGATACAGCCGTATCCCTCGAGCTTTCGTTGCCTCATGGCTCAAGGCCATGCACGGACCATGCACATCATGTGGAAAGAAGAAAAAGGTCCGAGTGTCTTGGAGGGTGGGAGATGGATCCATGTTTTGTTCCTATGTTTGATTTTTGAGGTGTATGGGCCCCTAGGATTCCCTTCTTTTTGGGGTCATATGCTTCGCACTTCTAGGTTGGTGGCCACCGCTCTTAGGTTGGAGGCCATCGCTCTT